GTTAATAAGCTGAAGGAATGGTTTGCAGACCACATATCGAATGAAAATAATTTTAGAAAATTGAGTTTACATATTGTAGGATCTATTCCCAAAAAAGCGAAATACGTTCATTTGGAATACATAAACGACGATCATCAGCAATACAAGCCAAATAAAAATCATTATATTACTAAAGTAAAAGATTATAAGAAAAATCTCTTTATGTTTCCAACTAAACGTTTGAACAAATCCTCTCAGAGCACAGAATATGTAACACATTAACGATTTAATAATATAATAAAAATGAAATTATAACTTGTATTGTCTTATGATAATGAAGTTTTTTTAATGATTAAATGATTAAATTTAAGCTTTTTCGCATAGCAACTGCGCAATAAACTAATGCGAAAATTTGTTGCAATTACATTTATTATACTTCTATATTCTTTCCGATAAGCCATTACGAATAATAATAGCTGTTATTATTCTATAGCTGTTATTGTAACAGCTATAGAATTTTGCATTTTGCTACAGAACTAGAATATTCGAAATTAATAGAACTAAATTTTCTCATGTTAATTAGAATTGTTAGTTTTATATATGAAAAACTTTTCTATACATACTTTTCTTTAATAAGAAAATATAAACAGATATATAATAGAAACATATTATAAGTAATTGTAATAACTAAACAAAAACGTATACAGTAATAATAATAGAGGATGCTAGTTAGGAAGTAAAGTACTTGCTCAGGATATAATTTTCCATATTTTTTATTTGTATTCTAAACACGATAAAATATTTTCAATAAAATATCTCTCTTATTCTCTTTCTCTCTCCTCTCATTCTCTTTCCTCTCCTTGTATAAAACATTTTTATATTTAACTTAACTGATTTAAAATTCATATTTTTCTACAAAGGCCGCACACTAATTGAGCAAGACTTTTCTATAAACTGAACGAAGGATCTTACAAATTATTACTTTTGTGTGTGCATAAGGATGGTGTAGGAATTGGATTTTTAAAAAATTAATGAAATAATATATATCTTTTAATAATATATTTATACTCTCGAGAAAAAGAGGAATTTTTAAATTTTTAAATTTAACTTCTTTTTTTTAAGTCAATTGCTCCATTTCCCGTTATTTCGGAAAAGAAAATTTTACAATTCGGCGACAGTTGGCGGACATAAAAAAACAGGCAGAGCTTTTAAAATCTGTTAACAAGTAATATACAATATAAATATTTTAAATTAATGCAACATTCATTAAGGGTGGGTTTCAAGTTTTATATCTTAAATATCTTAAATATCTTAAATAAACATCATATATATCCTTTTCATTTTACATTCTTTCCAATAGTTTCATTATACTCGTACATTTGTAACGCTTACATTTGCAAACATTTATTATTTATAATAATATTATGAATAATCAAAAAATATTTATATTTTTAAATTATCTCTAGGCCTCTTCCAGAACCCTAATTATAAAAATTTGTTTAAAGTTGGACAACCTCCACTAGATACTTTATTTTTTTCAGTTAAACTCCATGTATATTGTTCATTTATTTCTTTTTAAAAACAGAAGGAAAAATTAACAATTGATATGAGTTCAATTTCATTTACCGATGATTCATATTCAATACAGCATTATAAAGTATTTCTAAAAAAGAAATTAGATTGATTTTTTTAAACACATTCTATTTTTAAGGGAGCATATACACATAGAGGTGGTAAAAAATCGATATTTTTAAAAAATATTTTTAAAGTACAATACCTTAAAATACATTTTTGCAGATTTATCCGACGAAAAAAGTAGTCACACAAAATTATAGACAAATAGGTTTGAACTCGTTGAAAACGACAGATAGGCGCGCCTGTGACAAAATAGTTCAAGTTCACGTAGGTCAAAAAAGTATCTTCCTTTTTTTCTCTCTAATGTCTTCATTATATTTTGTAATAGTATTTCTTAGATCTGCGATTAATGATACGAACGGTTGGTTAGGTATAATAGACAGGCAATTATAGATGGATCTTATTTAAAGTTATCAATTTTAAATAATACGTTAAGACGTTAATAAGCTCAGTGAGATTATGATATTTTAAAATAGTATTTAAATATAAGAACAGATCGATTTTTATATTAAATATAAGAACTGCATACATAATACATTAACTTGTTTGCTGGACCATTTGCTCTCAGATCAGTGGGAAAAAGACAAATTAGTATATCGTATATCGACTTCTGTTCGAAAGCAAATGGCTTAACGGAAAAAGAAGCCGTATCGTACAGAATGCTGATTAAAATCGTCTTTCAGAAACGACTTAATATTGGTAATATTTTCATCGGATCGTATTATATCGACCGAAATAATGCAAGGAGGTAGAAATAATAAGAGTTGTCAAGTCTAAAAACTCTCGTTAAATTGATGAATGACAACAAAAAATATAGATGAGACGAAAGAAATACCGATCAGTAATGTGCACGATTTTGATTGAAATAAGCGTGAGAAATACTATGAAAATAATTTTTTAGAAGGAACAATATAATGTATTTTTTATTGATAAATGCAGGAATTAAATTTTTTTAAATAATAATATGCACAACATTCTCATTGACGTTTTATTTTATGAATATTTTACTTTGTCTTTTAAATTTAGAGCCAATAGATTACCCAATGATTTAGAAGCTAATATCCGATGAAGATTCAAAGAAATGCTCTTCTCAAGATATGAAAAATAAAAAACGAAATAATTTAATATGCATTTTAGGATATACCTTACATCAATTTTTTTATTTACTTTATTACTAAAATTTATTAAAATTGTAATATATCAAAGACGGGTCTCACAAAAGATATCTATCTTTTCAACATTTAAATGTATTATTAAAAGTTTCGATTCAAAAAAGATTGATTTTCTTCATTAACTGTAAAATAATTTTTCATTATTTAATTCCAAAACTATTACTGAATTTTGAATCATTTACAAGTCATTCTATTAATTGTTTTCATTGCTCCATTTAATATTCAGTATGTGTTATGATTGATAAGTACATAAATATATTTTTTTTAATAGGCAGCATGTTGCTTATGTGTGAGAATAGGAACGTTCAAAGAGCCAGCAAAATTTCCAGGTATATCATTTTTCTTCGAGTATATTCTTTTGACAGAATTTAAAAAACATTACCAAGTATTAAAAATATGATATGTATAAATTTGATATAAAATTTATTTATTTGTATATTAAATTGTTTAAATCACCTTACTTGCAGAAATATGATTTAGAAAAACTCACTCATAAACATGAAGGCAGCTTATTACTTATTTGATTAAGAATATTGTAATTTATCTTTGCTATTCAAGAGAAACACTTTTTATTATTCATTTTGCTAAATTTCTCACTAACCTCTACCGAAAAAAGATTTATGCAGAATCGAAACGACATAAAAAAAAAATAGATTATATTCATAATACTATTGTTGCAACTTGAAATCTTAAAATATCGCATTTATGTAGAATTTCAGACAGCTTTAAATTTTGCCAAAGAGAACAGAGTTCAGCAATTACAACTTTTTTCCTTTACGCGAACTGATCATCGAATCAATAAGATCACTAAGGATTATCATATTATAAAAGAGCACAAAAATTTGGATTACACGAAATTATTTGAAGACACAAATTTAAAGAGCGTCATTATAGTGCTCGCAGAATAAAGCTGGTTACACAGTTAATTTTGTTAAAATTGCGACAAACAATTAATTACTTTTACAGTATAAAGTTTATTTATTTCAAAAACAAGCTTAAAATTTATAACATAGTACATCTTTTTATAGGCAAGATTACCGCTGAATACATTGGAACAATATGTCATAACTGACATATACAAAACAACTACGTGTTTTGTTAATATATCAACTAATGAATTATCTCCTGAACTCTACCGAATTAATAAAAAATGATGTTCCGCCGCTTTTCAAGAAATGTATAAAATTTCTACTTCGAAACATGTTGGACAAGTATGTCACTAAAAATTAACCAAGTCGAAAAAAGTCTATGTTTATACTATGCTTAAAAATATAAATATATAGAATAAAATTTGACTTTTGCAGCTAGAAATAACATGAGCCATGTCTTCGCTATTTGCTTTACATAAAAATAAACCATATCGATATATTTCGTGGCTTATTGGACAGAAAGAAGGAAAAGATTTCCTAATTAGTTATCTACGCAAAAAAATATGGAATGTTCTATTCCTTTCAACAACGACTGCGTCGATTAGTTCTAAATCGCACGCTCTTCCATCTCGGCGTGCATTCAGATAAATTGTTACAAATCGTATGGAACACATATGGAATCTCTTTTATAAGCCATACCTAAGTTTTAAGTCTTAATCTGTAAAGAATTGACCAATTACAATGGAATATGAGAAGAATAATCGACTATATTTGATCAAAGTTTAGGTATTGACATATTGCAAAAAAAAAGTCCATTATGCCAATAATCATAATACGATAAATCAATATTCATAGCTAATTTCTTATTTCAATTAATAATTCTTATTTTAATTAGTAATATCTTAAAATACTATAATGCTACAAATCCTAATAATGTTAATAATGCTAATAATGCTGCAAATGCTAATAATTAGCAATATTTTAAAATGCAAGAATGTTTTATAATAATTTAAGACTTAAATAACAATTTAAGAGTTAGTTTTAAACGGACTATGAATACCAAATCTCTAGATCACTATGTAAACAGCACAAATAAATAAACATCTAAAACCTCTATGTATATATATATATATATTTATATAACATATATTAGACATTAACCGTATTGACCTTTATTTGAGAATATGTAAAAGAAAGAAGATCTTTCAGTAAATGTGCTGATTCAAATGGTGTCAGGTCTATTGAAAAGAAAATTGAAAAGAACTGAAAAACATTGGATTTTTTCGGATCAAGTCGTGCTTCACAAATCGACGATTTCGATTCTAATTTTTTGCACGTTGACATAATGCCAATTGTGAAGAGGGATAAAGCGAAGAGTCAAGCTGAACATTTGCATCAGCCTGACAAATCGGAGAATGACAAGAGGGAATATAGGTAAAAACGCGAGCAAATATTCAGTAGTAAGTAGTAAGCACGATTTCGATTACAATAGACGTGAGACATAATAAAATAGTAACTTTTTGAAAGAAATCTTAAAATGCATCTAAATTTTTTGAAATGATCGACAAAGTATACAATATTCATACTGACTTCTCATTTTATTACTGTTTGTTTTGTCTTTAAAATTTAGAGCCATCAGATTGCCAAACAGTTTAGAAATTTTGCTAATATCCGATGAAAATTTAACAACATCTTTTTCCCGAGAAAAAAAGGTACAAAAAAGATAATTTAATTTGTATTTTAGGACTTACAAATTTTTTTGTAAATTAACATGTTACTCAAAATTTATATTTAAAATTAATATTAATAAACTATAATAAACTTTAAAATCATAAGAGATAACTATTTTCATAAAATTTAAGTAGTATATTATCAGAAGTGATTTGATTTGAAAAATTTAATTTCCTGCAGTGCAGAAAAGTTTTCATAAATTTATTTCGAAATGTGTGATACAATTTCAACTGTTTAAATGTTCTGTTGATTATATTTAATTCTCCATTTAACATTACGTGTAATGCGCGTGATGCATATACTCTTATATTTTTTTAAACAGGCAGCGTGTAGCTTATGCGTGGACGTAGGAAATTTCAGCGATCCACCAGAATTTCCGGGCATATCATATTTCTTAGCCTTTGAATATATGTTTTTTCGAAAACTCGAAGAGGTACTAAAACATGATGCAAAAATTTATCGTTAAAAATATTTATTCATATATTCAAGTATCGTCTTATTTGTAGCAATGTATTACTTTAGAAAATTTTATTCATGACCATGATGGCACTACTCATGTCTCGGTGGAAAACGAACATACAATATATTACTTTAATATCAAAGAAAACAACTTGCTTTTAGCTCTCCATAAGTTTGGTCTTTTTTTTATTAATCCTATAATGCCAAAACATATATTTATGGAGCAACTAGATGCCATAAAAAATCGTATAAATTTTACTCTTAACATTGTCATCGCAATACTTGCAGTATTGATATGCCATATTATATAGAACTTATTATAGAATTTCAGGTAAGTTTATTTAATGGCAAGTCGAGATACGAACAACTATTTTCCTCATTCGCACAAATTGGTCATCCAGCCAACATGTTTTCTGTGGACCATTTAATAAAATTGCGTAATAATATAGATTGCGATAAATTGTATAAGATGCTGGATAGATTTAAAAAGCGCCACTATAGCGCTCACAGAATGAAGCTAGCAATACGGGTAATTTCGTTAAAATTACGATACAGGGTTATTTATTATTTATAGATTTATGATTCTTTTATTTATAAAATAAAGTCAAATCATAACATGATACATATTTTTATAGTCGAGACTATCGTTGGATACAATGGAAAAATTTGTCAAAGCGTACTTTGCTCGTATACCAAACAATCTAATGCCTCCAGATAATTTTTTCAAATTTAAAAACGATTTCCCTTTTGATACACCCGCTTTCCGAAAAATGTATAAAGTTCATGATGATACAGAACATGTGACACGAGTAAGTATTTGAAAAGATATAAAAGAATCTAGATTTATGCAACATAAAAATTCATATAAATAAACTTTCTCTTTTGCAGCTGCAAATAACATGGGCTTTGCCTTCGTTTTCTGATTTTTATAAATGTAATTCATATCAATATATCTCATGGAGTATTGGATATAAAGGAAAAGGTTCCTTAATTAGTTATCTACGAAAAAAAATGTGGAGTCCTACATCAGACAATAGCATGTTCAATTGTGAGAGTCAACAAAACTCTTTGTACAGCTTAATACAACTCACCATAGCACTCACTTCTAAAGGACGAAAACATCTGGAAGATGTTTTAGATGCAATATTTTCTTTTATCAATTTACTGAAGACAGCAGGTCCGCAAAAAGAAATTTACAATGACTTTTGTAAGATTAGACAAAATACTTTTAGGTAACGTAATTTTAGAATTAAATTATGTCTTTAAGATGATTAAAGAAAAAAGCCAACTATATATTTGTAGAACATCACTTTTACTTGAAGGTATTTTTAGATATATTAATTACGACAAAGAAGATATCTCTGAAGTAGAACTATTCTGTAAGAATATGCATTTCTATCCGCCGAAGGCTTATATAACTGTAAACCAGCTTGATTCGAATTATAATGCAAAAGTTATACAAAAATATTTGAATTATTTGGCACCTGAGATGGCAAATATTATGATTTTTTCAAAGGATTTTAATTGTTTCGAATTAAAGAAAGTTGAACCATGGTGGCAAACGGCATATACGGATATTGAGATACCGAAAGTGTGGATCGAACGTTGGAAAGTCATCGAGCCATTACCAGAATTTCATTTACCATCATCGAATATATTCCTTATCAACAATTTTCATCTATTAAAGACGACATCAAACGAAAAAATTGAGAAATATCCTGTGAAATTATATAATAATTCTATATCGGAGCTTTGGTATCACCCGGATTTTAAGTTTTGTTTGCCGAAATGTTGTATGCATTTCTATTTTATTTCCCCTTTAAAACTTCAATCGTTGAAGAAGTAAGTAGCATAGAAAGTATAACAATATTATATTTTAGTATTACTGTACTTGACATTATATGTATACCAATTTTTAATTTATAATTACCAATATTATGATTTTTATATAAATATTTACATCTTATTGAAAAAAATGTGAACATTCATGATATTTCAGTGGAGTTCTCATGGATATGTACTGCAAACTACTGGAACAGCTATTAGCCGAAGAATTATATCCAGCTCTACAGGTTGGGTTTAAATATGACATCAGTGTCAATAGAAATGGTTTTACACTAAAAATAAGAGGTTTTAATGAAACTCTGCCAGTAAGTATACGTTTAAAGTGTGCTTGGTGGAGTTATAAATAATTTCGAAATGTATCATTGTATTTATATTGCAGCTTTTAGCGGTTTTTTTTGCACATGGCATGGTGCAGTATTCAAGCCTAATTACGAAGGACATATTTGAAAGTACCAAAATTCAACAAATTCAGACATATTACGACTCAGTTAGAACATCTAAGATTTTCATTAGGTACTAACTGTTTATTATATCAAGCATTATTACAACAATTACAAAATTTTTACATGACTAAAATAAATGATTAATATATTAATTGTAACAATTGATATCATAAAATAAATTACATTTCTGCTAATCAATATCTTTACTCTTGTTTCCAGCGACATGGCATTATCGATATTGAAACTCGTCCATCATTCACTAATTGATATGCACACCGCTCTACAAAATATCACTTTGAAAGACTTTCAAGACTTTGTGAAATCCTTTACCAATTGTCTATACATTCAATGTCTCGTGCAAGGAAATATAACGCCGGCTACTGCGATCAAGACTGTACAGCAATTTATTAAAATAATTAATTGTAAACCTTTACATCCAGATACGATACAACAATTTAAAGGCACTAGGATACCTTTGGGTATAAGCTATTACAAAATTAAAAATATCAACAGATTAGATGCAATTTCCATGATATCAAATTATTATCAAATTGACGTTACCACGATTGAATTATCGACATTAATTAATCTGATAAGCGTAAGTATTAAGAGGATCCTCAAGTGAAGCGTGAACTCCGAGGAGATCGCTACTTACTGAAAAAATGCGACGCATCAACACATCTTTATGTACTTTATGTACTATTGCACCAATATTTCACGCATACATATACATAATTTCCAAACATATATTTAATTCATAAATTTCCCTTGAATAATAGTATTTTAATTAGATTTTTAATTCAAATTCTAAGAATTCCGCGTTGTTTATGTAAACTATTACCCAGTGAGAAATGATAATGGAATCGACATTGAATTGATGTCGATTCCATTAATCATTGGACCACAATTTCATAAGTACATATTGCAAAGCTTTTCAAACAAATGTTTCGATGTTGATAACATATTGGATCATAAAAAATGATAAAGAAAATCTCAATTTAAATCCTTTTTTTCAGTATAAATACTATATCTTACAAACACATATTAATGCGTATACTTTAATCCTGGAAAAGAATTTTCAAATTTGTAAGAGAAGAAAAAAATTATATAAAAAATATATAATTATAAAAAAATTATTGCGTTTAGTCAGTAATATATACAACTTAAGGATCTCCTTAAATAATATATACATATTGTTTTGTATATTTTGAATGCGTAGAATATTTTATGCGTAGAATCTTTTATATATATTCTTTTATTTATTTTCAAAAGTTAATAAAATATGAATAAGATCGTTGATTATCACGATTAATTTTACCTGCACATCACATTCACTTACACTTGTTTTCAGTATATAATGACTCATAAATTACACGAGGGTCTACGCACTGATAAGTTTATATATATCACAGTCGACGTTAGAGACATTGACGAAATTCTAGGATATTCCATTACTGTTTGCATTCACGCAGATAAATGCACAACTGAATACGTTGATAAGAAAATCGACGATTTTTTGAGATGGTTTAAAAACGATTTGGAAAAGCTCACAGAAGAGGAATTGGATCTTTACAAAGAAATGTTCCTAAAATCTAGATCACATGACGATGCCAATCTTGAAGAGGAAGTTGAAAGAAATTGGAAGGTGATTGTTAAACGTACTTACATATTTGATTTTCACGAGCAGGAAATACTTGCTCTAAAAAAAATAAATGTTAATAAGCTGAGGGAATGGCTTGCAGACCACATATCGAATGAAAGTAATTTTAGAAAATTGAGTTTACATATTGTAGCATCTATTCCCAAAAAAGCGAAATATGTTCATTTGGAATACATAAATGATGATCTTCAACAGTACAAGCCAAATAAAAATCATTATATTACTAAAGTAAAAGATTATAAGAAAAATCTCTTTATGTTTCCAACTAAATGTTCGAACAAATCCTCTCAGAGCACAGAATATGTAACACATATTAACGATTTAATAGTATAATAAAAATGAAATTATAACTTGTATTGTCTTATGATAATGAAGTTTTTTTAATGATTAAATGATTAAATTTAAGCTTTTTATTTTCGCACAGCAACTGCGCAATAAACTAATGCGAAAATTTGTTGCAATTACATTTATACTTCTATATTCTTTCCGATAAGCCATTACGAATAATAATAGCTGTTATTATTCTATAGCTGTTATTGTAGAATTTTGCATTTTGCTACAGAACTAGAATATTCGAAATTAATAGAACTAAATTTTCTCACGTTAATATTAGAATTGTTATTTTTATATATGAACGATACTTTTTTTAAGAAGAAAATATAAACAGATATATAATAGAAACATATTATAAATAATTGTAATAACTAGACAAAAACATATACAGTAATAATAATGAAGGATGCTAGTTAGGAAGTAAAATACTTACTCAGCATATAATTTTCCATATTTTTTATTTGTATTTTAAACACGACAAAATATTTTCAATAAAATATGTCTCTCACTCTCTTTCTCTTTTCTCTCCTTATTCATATAAAACATTTTCATACTTAACTGATTTAAAACTTATATTCTTTCACAAAGGCTGCATACCAGATGAGCAAGACTTTTCTATAAACTGAGAATCCTACAAACACTTTATTTTTATATATGCATACGTATTGTGTAGGAATTGGATTTTAAGAAAATTATTGAAATACTAAATATATATTTTTTAATAATATATTTATACTCTCGAAAAAGGGAGGAAATTTTTAAATTTAATTGCTTTTTAAGTTGCTCCATTTCCTATTCTTTCAGAAAAGAAAATTTTGCGATTCGGCGACGGCTGACGAGCATAAAAAAACAGACAGAGCACTTGCTTCTAAAAATCAGATTTAGTAACTATTAATAAGTAATATATAAATATTTTAAATTAATGTAGTATCCATTAAGGGTGGGTTTTGAGTTTTATATTTTAAGTAAAAAACATTATATATATTCCTTTTTTCTCTATCTTTCCAATAATATTATATATATTTGTAACTCTTATACATTTTCAAATATTTATCATTTCAAAATCAACAATATAAATAATCAAAATATATTTATATTCACAAATTATCTCTAAGTTTTTTCCAGAATCCTTTGATAATTATAAAAATTTGTTTAAAGTTGACCTCTAATAGTTACTTCTATTTTTTTCAGTTAAACTCCATGCATATTGTTCATCTATTTCATTTAAGAACAGAAGGAAAAATTAATGATATAAGTTCAACTCAATTTGCCAAAGATTCTCGTTCAACATAGCATTATAGTTCTAAAAAAAAAAATTAGGCGTGATTCTTTAAATACAATCTGTTCTTAAGAGGGCATACATGTCTTTATTTATCACTTATTTACCAAAGATGTTAAAAAATCTTTTTTTTTTAAATATTTTTAAAGTATAATATACTTGAAAACGTTTTTGCAGATTTATCCAATGAAAAATAAAAGAGAAAATACACGATATTATAGACGGGTAAGTTTGAGCTCTTGGAGACGGCAGGCATGCCTGCGAGAAAACAGTTCAAGTTCGCGCAGGTCAAAAAAGGGTCTTTCTCTATTCATTGTATTTTCTAATAGTATCTCTCAGAACTGCATTTTAAAATACGAACGGTTGGTTGGGTATACATAACAGTCTTGTCTGGAAGAGCAACTGAAAAGGTTGAAAAAAAGGTTAGCAAAGAAAAATATGAATCGAATCGTAAACCGAATGTAGCTGAACATTTAGAACTTACAGTGAGATATATGTGAGATATATGATATTTGTCGAAAGCGAGAAAGAGAGTTCTAGAGCAGCTTAGTGCAGGAACAAAAAACAGACCAAATAGTATGCTCTCTGTTTCGTTCAACTGATCATTATCAGACGTGTGTCGTTAGAAAGGTTTAAACCGAAGTACGCTTTTTTACCTCGATGTGTAATTCGATCAAATTTCAATCGCTTGTCGCATATATAGAACCTCTTTCTTTATATCTAACAACAATGAAATAATTACTTAAACAATCAATAGGCAGACAATTATAGATGTATCTTATTTAAAGTTATCCATTTTAAATAATACATTAAGACATTAATAAGGATCAGTAATTGGTTTATGATATTTTAAGATAGTATTTAAACGATATTAAATATAAGAACAGATCGCGTATATAATACATTAACTGACTTGCTGGACCAGTTTGTTCTCAGACCAATGGGAATAATACAAGTTAGTAAACATCTACGACTTACACTTATCATGTACACAAGTTAGTCCTATATTGACTTCTGTTTGAAAGCAAGTGGCATAACGGTAGAAGAAACCATATCAGTCAGAGTACTGATTAAAATCGTCTTTCAGAAACGACTTAATATTGGAAATTCTTTCATCGAATTGTATCATATCGACCGAAATAATGCAAGAGGGTGGAAACAATAAAAGTGGTCAAGTTGAATATCTAGAAACTCCCATCAAATCGGAGAATGACGAGAAGGAATATAGGTGAGAAATACCGATCAACAATGTGCATGATTTCAATTAATAAGCGTGAGAAATACTATGAAGATAATTTTTTAGAAGAAACAATATAATATATTTCTTATTGATAAATGCAGGAATTAAATTTTTTTTAATAATAATATGCACAATATTCTCATTGACGTTTTATGAATATTTTGTTTCTTTTGTCTTTTAAATTTAGAGCTATTAGATTACCAAATGGGTTAGAAGTTTTGCTAATATCCGATGAAGATTCAAAGAAATGCTCTTCTCAACATCAAGAAATGAAAAATGAAATGAAGGTAACTAACGAAATAATTTAATGTGAATTTTAGGATACCTTACATCAATTTTTTTACTAACTTTATTATTAAAATTTATTAAAATTGTAATATATCAAAGGCGAGTCTCACAAAAGATATCTATCATTTCAAGATTTAATTGTATTATTAAAAGTTTCGGTTTAAAAAAATGATTTTCTTCACTAACTATAAAAGAATTTTTCATTATTTCCAAATGTGTTACTCAATTTTAAATCATTTACGAGTCATTCCATTAATTGTGGATGTTAATTTCTCCATTTAATATTCAACATGTATTATGCGTAATACATATATAAATATAATATATTTTTTTAATTTAGGCAGTATGTTGCTTATGTGTGAGAACAGGAACTTTCAAAGAGCCATCAGGATTTCCAGGCATATCATTTTTCTTTGAGTATATTCTTTTGACTGAATTCGAAAAACATTGCCAAGTACTAAAAATACGTACAAATTTTATATAAAATTTATTTGTATATTAAATTGTTTAAATTATCTTACTTGCAGAAATATGATTTAAAAACACTTACTTATAAATATGGAGGCAGCTGTGATTGCTTATTTGATTACGACGAATATACATTATCGTTTATCTTTGATATTCAAGAGAAACACTTTTTATCAGTTCTCATTCATTTTGCTGAATTTTTCACTAACCCTCTACCGGAAAAAGATGCATTTATGCAGAATCGAAACAACATAGAAGACGGTAGATTATACTCATAATACTGTTGTTGCAACTTGCAATCTTAAAATATCGTATTTACGTATTGTAGAATTTCGGAGAGCTTTAAATTTAGCCAAAATCAGAGTTCATCAACCACAACTTTCCTCCTTTACGCGAACTGATCATCCAATCAATAAGACTATTGAGGATCATATTATAAAAGTGCACGAAAATTTGGATTGCACGAAATTATATGAAGAGCTACACAAATTCAAAGAACGCCATTATAATGCTCACAGAATAAAGTTGGTTATACAGGTAATTTTGTTAAAATTGCGACAAACGATTAATTATTTTTGCAGTATACAGTTTATTTATTTCAAAAACAAGTTAAAATTTATAACATGGTACACCTTTTTATAGGCAAGATTACCGCTGAATACATTGGAACAATATGTCACAACTGACACGTGTTTTGTTAATATACCAACTAACGAACTATCTCTGGATGACTCTACCGAATTAATAAAAAATGATGTTCTTTTTGATACCGCCGCTTTTCAAAAAATGTATAAAATTTTTACTTCGAAACATATTGGACAAGTATGTGATTAAAATTTAATCAAATCGAAAAAAATTTATGTGTATACTATACGTAAAAATATAAATATGTAAAATAAAATTTAACTTTTGCAGCTAGAAATAACGTGGGCTATGCCTTCGCTATTTGCTTTATATAAAAGTAAACCATATCAATATATTTCATGGCTTATTGGACATGAAGGAAAAGGTTCCCTAATTAGTTATTTACGCAAAAAAATGTGGAATGTTACCGTTTCTAATGAGGAAATTTGTTACAATATACATACTATCGCGTATAGCTTAATCAAGATTAATATAGATCTCTCTAATGAAGGAAAACGACATGTAAAGGAGATTCTAGATACGATATTTTCCTATATCAATTTGTTAAAAAAGAAAGGTCCGCAGAAAAAAATTTACGACGAGTTTAATAAGAGATCAAAAAATATTTTTAGGTAAACTAATTTTAGAAATAAATTGATATATGAAATATAATTGAAAAAATAAAATATTCGTGAAAAACATCACTTATACTTGGATTTTAGATATTTTAAGGAAGAGAATCCAAGAGATAATGTGAGCAGTTTATGTATAAATTTGCATCAGTATCCGTCGCGCGATTATCTAACTGGAAGCAAGATTCATTTTGAATATGATCCAAAAACTATAACAAATATTTTGAATTATTTGACGCCTGAGACTGCAAATATTATGATTTTCAACAAGGACTTTGATATGGAATTAGATAAAGTCGATTCATGGTCGAAAGCAGAGTACACAGATATCAAGATATCACAGGAATGGCTCGAACACTGGAAAACCGTCGAGCCATTACCAGATTTTCATTTACCAGAGAAAAATATATGCCTTCATATTGAACATTCTTTAGATTCATTGCCAGCAAAAGTTTCAAAATATCCTATAAAATTATATAGTGATAGTATATCAGAAATTTGGTACCGTCCGGATCCCAAGTTTCGTTTGCCAATATCTTATATGTATACACATTTTATTTCTTCCGTAGGACTTCAGTTACCGGAGAAGTAAGTAATGTAGGATAATGTATTATAATAATATTATATTGTGTAGTATTACTGTGTGTAGAGTAATACTTGTGTAGTATTACTCTAAATACACTCTAATTTCTAAGTTAGAATTATTAATAACAATTTCTATAATTTTTTATTTGCATCTTTTATTTTTAAAAAATTTTTCTTGTTAATAATATTTCAGTGCCGCTCTCATGACAGTGTACTGCAACATAATAAAACTGCTAGTGGTGGAAGAATTATATCCAGCTGTAGAAAGTGGGTACACTTATGACATCAGTGTTAGTGAGAAAGGAATTATAACAAAAATATCCGGACCTATTCCCATCGTAAGTATATATTCAAAGCATGCGTCAAAGTTTCAAAATATATTATTTTTATTTTATTTATATTGCAGACATTATTGTTAATTATAACAAAATACATGATGGACTATTCAAATATTACGAAGCAAATGTTTGAAATAATCAAAGATCAACAAATTGCTATCTATAACGACATATTTACTAAACCAGAGGAACTCGCTAAGTACTGGCTATTTATTGTCAAATAATTGCAACAATATTATGAAATTTTTACATAACTAAAAGAAATTATTAATAGATATTAAATAAAGAATTAATTTTGTAAAATACATTATAATAAATGTTATATTTTTTGCCAATTAGACAATAATAAATATATCTTTAATCTTTTTTACAGGGATATGAAATTATGGATACTAAAGTTAGTCCATTGTACATACGTAGATATGCACAATGCTCTACGAAATGTCAATTTTGAAGAATTCCAAAGTTTTGCAAAATTTTTTACCAATCGTCTATACATTCAATGTCTTATGCAAGGCAATATAACGGAAGATTCTGCGATCGAATTTATATATAAGTGTGTTTCAACACTTAAATGTGACTCTTTACATTCTAGTATGATGCAACCAAATAGAGTCTTTCAGTTACCCTTGGGCACAAGTTATTGTAAATTGAAAAATATCAGTAAACATGATCCAACTTCCGTTGTGATAAATACTTATCAAATTGATGCCACGTCAATTGAGTTATCAGTGTTAATGAGACTAATGATCGTAAGTATTAAATAACATGATTTTATATGAAATTTTAGGTGTTTATTCATCTATTTTTAAATAAAATAAAATAAAATCTGAGTAATTTCTTAGATTGTTGCGATTAATTTTGTCTCTCCAAGTTATATTCATTCGCACGGTTTTTCAGATGATAATGGAAAAACAATTGTCACTAAAATGTCGATCAATCCAAAATAATTTTATACAACATATTTCATGCGACTATATGGATGTCGATGGAATTTTAGAATATTCTATTAGTGCCACTCAATCAGTGGCAAATAAATCACAGACAACTGAGCTTATTAAGGAATGCATCGATAGATTTCTGGATTTTTTAAAAGAAGTTTTGGATGAATTCTCAGAAAATGATTTAGATAATGTTAAGGAAAGATTAAGAATATTTAAGCAACATGCTGATATAAATATTGAAGAAGAAATTAATAGAAACTGGTATGAGATTATGAAGTGTCAATACATATTTGACAGACACGAGAGAGAAATATTTGCATTAAACAACATAAAAATAAACGAACTAAGAGAATGGTTTAATAAGTACATGTGGAACGAAAATTATATGAAAAAATTGAGTATACATGTTATAGGAACTGATTCTAACGAAACGCAATCCATTACTTTGAAATATATACTCGATGAACATCAATATAAGAACATTGAAGAAAATTATATTATTAAAGTAGAAGAATACAAGAAAAAACTTTTTGTTTATCCAGTAACTGAGAGACAATCGATTTATGGTGCAGAATAAGTGACATTTTTACACAATAATAATATAAAAATATAAAATTATAAATTATAATTCT